TCCAGCCGGGTCGCCACCTGGCGACCGGCGACCACCTGGGACCGACCGGCCGAGCCTCGGCGAGAGGCTGGCAGGCCGACCGGCCGAGAACCGGCCAGATCCCGACGGGGGACTGGCCGCCTTACCTCACCTCGCGGTCGCGCCCGGACCGCCGCCCTACCCGCGGGCCTCCTCTGCCCGCGTCACCGCCGCGGCAACCAACTCCCAGCCAAGACCATCCGGCGTTCCAGCCCCCAAACGGAAAATGCAACGAAATAGAGACAGATTCGAGAATGGTTCAGGCATATCATTAAACACCTTGCAAGCGTCGACGGAAGCGAGGGATTCCAAGCACGATTGAGGCTCAAACACATCCGAAATTCACACACAACAAACCCAGGCAAGCAGGACTGAGCCCGAGGTGTCACTGGCCGGAACTCGCGCAAGCCGGACGGCCGCGAGCTCCGGCCAGTGACCCCCCCAAAAAATAGAGTGCAGACGAAAACAGGGGCGGCGGCCACAGTCCCTATCTGACTCGGCGGTGGCGAATGGAGGGCGAACGCGGTAGATCGGGCTACACCCGCGCGCCTCGCACACCTACGAGCCGGAATCCTCGGGAGACCGACCCCGAATCGGACCAAACCAAAGCAAAATCCGGCGAGTGCCCGGATCGGGACCTATCGTGATAGAGGATCTTCGGCCGCGGCTTCGGCACGGCGTTCGCCGGCGAAGGACCCCTCCGTCTCGACCTCTCGCTCTCTCTTCGGAACTCTCTCTCTCTCTCGGATCTCTCTCCCTCTCGGATCTCTCTCCCCTCCCTCCTCTTCACGACCAGATCTGGTCTTAAAGGACTTGGCCGGTACATCCGCGTGGCCCCTGCTGCCGGCAGGCGCGCATGGCCTCTGCCACCGCCTGGCTGTCGCGGCCGGCCGATTTCGCTACCCGCGGATCGCGCTGCCAGCCCCCCTCCCGCCTCTGGCTCCTCTTCCGTCCGTCTGTGGCGTTCTGCCACTGTTCCTCCCCCTGTACGTTCTGAAACGTTGACTGGGGAGGGGGAGATGAACAGTGCGCGGGCCGGGCCGTGGGAAAATGGGCCGGCCCGAGTGAAAATAGAAAAGAGAGCATGGGTCGCGCGCAATAAAAGCAAAACGGGGGGAAACGAATGGGCCGACGAACCCGATCCGAAATTTTTTTTTTTTTTTATATATGCATATGTCCTAATAGGCCCTATTAATGCAAATGTACCTAATGTCTATATGCCATGCAATTCAATGAAAATATTTTTTGTTTAGTGGTTTAAAAATTAAACCCTAAAATTTTTTATACGATAAAACCCTGAATGATTTGAGCAAAATTTAGGTGTCAACACATGTAAGGTGATTAAGCGAGTGCACAATCATTAAATTAACGATCAGCATACAAGATAAATATGCAACCAAAGGGTCTAATCCTAACTAAGGAGACAACATTCAATGTATCACAATTTATGCAATCGTATACTAATTAGAAATACATGCATAATAATAATACAGTAGCAGTAAAAATAATATCCAAAATCCTACTGCATAGCCCTATAGGCTTATCTGATTTAGACATAATTATTAATTAAATAATTCACATAATTTAGAAAATTATTTAAAAAATAATAATTTCTAAACTTATTTCGTAATTTTTTAAAAAAATTATAAAATATATTTTTTATTTTTTTAAAAAAATAATATTAAAATAAAAAATAATAATAAAAATATTCGGATCGAGGTCGGGTCGGGAAGGAACCGACTCCGATCCGCAAGCCCGACCCAAATTGGCTGACTCTGGTTGGGTTTTCGGATTCGGATCAGGTCATGGCTGACCCGAGCTAATGAGTCGGGTTTTAAACTTCATCGAACCCGACTAAGGCCCGTTCTGTTCGAAATAGAAAAAAAAAGGGTCGGCCCAATCGGGCCCAACTGGTTCGACCAACACTATAGACCCAGCGGGCTGAACGTGCTTAAGGTGTAGAGGATCCACTGGCCGGGCGAAATTCCGGCTATTTGCCAGCTGTTTCGCCTGACCTTTGGCTTTAATGTCCTCAGCACTCCAAGCTGAGGATATTGTCTCATGAATAGCTGTCAGAACGGTGGCCTAAATGGTCATCGGTCAAGTTCCGATTGGGCCTCGTTGAGCCCAAACATCAGTCGGATCTTGGCCGGCCGACCTTGGCCAAAGTTTGGCCTTTTCTAGTCTCACTCAGCCACCACGTGACCGTCCCCGGCCTCACAAATCGCCGGCCAACTTGGAAATCGCCGGTCGAGACTCAAACAAACTAGGCTTCACTTAGGCATTTTAACAAACAGCTAGTGCTCACGGCCAAAACGAGGGAACTTCAACTTGTTTCGAGGCTCCGGTTTGCTCTGACGGCCATGACTCGCTTCCGACGACGATGTTTGGATCGGGGGTGGGGTCGGTATGGGCCGAGATTCGCACGAAACGGCCGGCGTGAGTCTCGGCCAATCTATACACAAAAATAGGGGAAAACAGAGCACAAAAGGGGTCAAGAAGGACTTACCGGTTGAGGCTGCTTCTAGGGGTCGTCGGTTAGTCTGCAAGCAACAGTGAGACTGCTGGCTTCCTTTGGCGACTTAAAAACAACTCAAAGCTCACTCTTTTACTCTTTATTTCTCTCAAACTCTCTCAAAATCTCTCTGTTTCTCTCTACTCTGTTTTTTTTTTCCAAAGGGCCGACCCTCTCTCTCTCTTCTTCGCCGACTTATATAGCGGCCGATGGCCACTTGCTTCTACTCCATTCAATGCTCTGCACCGCCGCCTATGCCTACTCAAGACTTTTGTGGCTATTTTTGCGCAGTGGAGTGGGTTATCCGCTTTGTCCTAGGCGGTGGTCGGCTGTAGAGGAAGGAAGGAGGAGAGAGGGAAAGAGAGACTGGGCCATGGGGGAGAGAAGGAGGGAGAGGGCTGGGCTGAGCCCAGCTTGCATAAGAGAAAGGGGAAAAAGGAGAGGATCGGGTCGACTCGTTCTGATCTGATTTTTTTTTTAATTGATTACTTTTTTTATTAATTAAAAGAAGAAAAATATATTCTAATAATGGAAAATGTATCTATTGTCTATATGCAATGTAATTAAATAATTTTTTTTGGTTTTAAGAATTAAGTACATTAATCCCTAAATTTTTGCATAATTAATTTTGGGCAAATTAAAAAAATAGGTGCCAACAATATAGGTACAAGTTTGGGATTTTTTTATGTTACAAGAAAAAGTTTAGAGTCACGGTGAGTATAGTTCGGGGTTTTCGATGTCACAAAAAAAATATTCAAAGTAATTGTGTCACAGTTGACATAATTTGGAGTTTTGCGTGACTTTTACCTTAATCATAATGAAGCGAGGGAGGCTGATACAGAGTGAATGAGGAAATTTCGAAGTGCAATTTGTGAGCACAGAGAGACTGATTCAAATTCATGTTCGTGCCTAAAGTCTTCAAGGTCTAAAGCACCATCTTTGGCCTCATGTATTTAATGCTCTGTGTTTCACCCAGAAAGTAAAAAGTCTTTCAACAAAAGATCGATTTTGGTTTGTTTTTTTTTAATGGAAATGGGCTCTTTGTTAAGCTTGGAAAGGATATCACTCAACTAGAAATTCGAAAGGAAACGAAATTCAAGTACTGAAATTTAAAGTACAGTTTGTGAGGAAATGATGAATTTTCAATGACTATTGCCTAATTATCAACTGTTACGAACAAACAATTAACACACTAACCATGCTTAGTGTTACACGTTCTTTAAAATTCAAAGCTTGCTTTTCGGCCGTCAACGTTTATCATTCATGAAAAGTTACGACTCCTGATACCACGAAATTAATCAACCGTGACTCGACACTGGAACCAAACATGTCCTCCCCATCTTCTATCTTCAACACTTACTGTTGATCATCCCCAAGTTCTTGATCCCTCGGCCAAAGCTCCTCCGGTGCTCATTCGACTCTGCCCACTATCACTTGGACCTCCAGGGCGTGCTACCACCAGTGTGGACCTTTGCATTGTTACATGCTATTTAACTAGAATGGCCCACCAGACATTTTTGTGTTGAACCACCTGGCTAATATGTCCTCGAAGTGCTGGGATCTAAAGTTGTGCCTTCACTCTAGCCTCAATTAAACCACATCCCACTCATAACTGAACCATAGAACAGTTATCATATAACGATTTCCTTCACTCATGTATTTTAGGTATTAGACTTTCTCATTAATTGAACTAGGTTCTTTCCAAGCAATTTGTGGCTATTGACACCTAAATTTTGGTCTTCGTGGGGAGGTCGCGACAGTGGCGACTCTAGTTCTGTATTTAAAATGGCCGTGATTCTCCCAGTTCCACCCCCTCTTTCCTTCTTTCTTTGATTCCATATTGCCCACTTACCTTGGTTGTCATTTTGGCAACACTTTGGAAGAGGACTTCTTCCCAACAAAGAGCTGCACCTGTCCTTTTTTTGGCCAGAATCATACAACGGTTAAATGAGGGAAGAGATCGATCCACTACCGCAGGTTCCAAAACTAAAGTTATAATCAAATAAAAGAAGGAGAAGAAGAACAAACAAACTCGATGAAACCAGAAACAGATTACTTTGATAAAATGGACCCCGATCAAAGCACAGATGAAGATCGCGCCGCTCAACCGATTGAATTGACCGGTAGATCACCATGATATTAGCATGAATCTCAACCGGTGTCAAGACTAGAGAGCAGGGGACGGGATCTAGAGTTTGATGTAGGGGAGAAGGAGCATGCACTAAATTCTCAATGTCTCTCCTTTCTTATGAAAACCTTATAACAACAATTTGTTTGAAAGAAATGTCCACTTTTAGTCCTTTTTCTTCGTTTTCATATATAGATAGAGAGGATAAACAGCAAAAGTGCAATCAAGACACTTCCTGACGACAGCCATCTCCTAGTCTCTTGATGCTACCTGGTTGATTACACGGTACGGTAATCTCCCTTGCATCGAGTAGGCACCGATATCAGACTCATGCACCGATCCAGACAAAGTAAATGTAATTGGAAGTTTAAGAGCAGCAAATAAAGCATCCGGCAGGTCCATCCGTTTTAGCTATACATCAAAATCCCATGACCGGCGATCCAAGTTCCTCTCTAGGCAATTTTCTACACCTATGTTGACACCTATTTTTAATTTGCCCAAAATTAATTACACAAAATTTAGGAATTAATTTTCTTTAATTCCTAAAACAAAAAATATTTCTATTTAAATGCATTGGATATAGACATTAGGCATATGTGCATTAATAGGGCCTATTAGAGCATATTTTCTTAAATTTTAAACAAAAATTAAAAAAAAAAAAAAAAAAAAAAAATCGAGTCGGGCCGGGTCGGAGCTGGGCCGACCCGGCCCATTTCTTTTTTTCCTTTTTTCCCCCGGGCCCGGCCCCTTTTCCTTTTTCTTTTTTTCCTTTCGCGCGGGCCCAGCCCACTTCCTTTTCTTTTTTTCTCCTTCTCCCCGCGGCCGGGGCCCGGCCCGGCCCAGCCTTCCTTTCCTTCTCTTCCCCCGCGCCGGTCGCTCTCCTCGCCCCCGTTCTCCCCGCGTCGCGACGGAAGCGTGACGCACGGCGGCGCCGCTTCTCGCCGTCGCCTGTCCGGCCGCAGGAGAGCCTGATGAGCACGCCGACCGGACCGGCATTAATGGCCGCTCCCGTCCTCCCCATTTCCCTCTCCCTTATCCCTCCTCCCTCTCGATTCTCTGCACCCTCTCGGCACCGACCCCTCCTGCTCTGCTCTGCACCGGCCTGCAATGGCCACGAAAGTCGTGGCGTGGCGTAGGCCGGTGCAGGCCATCGTCACGCCGACGCGGCCGGGCCCAGATTCGTCGTCGTTGGCTATGAAAGACAGAAAGAGAGAGAGAGAGACGGTCGGCCGTTTCTAAAAAAAAGACAGAGAAAGAGAGAGACTGAGCAAGACAGAGAGACCGAGAGATCTTCCGGCGACTGCCGTGCTCGCACCGCGCCTCAGCCATCCATCCCCGCCGCCGAGCCGACGGCGGTGACACAGTGAGAGAGAGAGAGAGAGCCCCTGGTCGGCGAAACACAGAGAGAGACTGAGAGAGACAAAAGAGAGAATAAAGGGAGAGAGAGGGAGCCGAGAACCAGCCGGAGCTAAAGAAGAACCAGCAACGGTCGTCGACGCCGCCAGACTAGCCGGAAGCCGCCCAGATGCGCCGTCGACCGGTGAGCCCCCCTCGGCCGCAAAGCTCCCCTGTTTTCCCCTGATTTTTGGCTCGGTTTGGCCGAGACTCGCGCCGGCCGTTTCGCGCGAATCCCGGCCCATACCGACGTCGGTCCCGGTCCCTGCTCACCGTCTGAAGCGAACCCAAGCCGCTGGAGCCGACCGGATCGCCGGAGGAGGTCGGAATCCCCCGTTTTTCCACGCGCCCGCCAGGCGTTCGACGAAATGCCTCAACCACGCCGGTTTTTGTTCCATCGCCGGCCGGCGAACGGTGGTCCGACGGTGGTTCAGGTGAGTGGCACGGCCAGAGGCGGTCCTGGTCGGGCGACTTGGGGGCGGCGCTGGCCTGGGTCGGCCGGCGGACGGCCAATTTTGGCCTCGCCGGCGCCCCCCTCCCCGCGGATCTGTTTGTTCAGGTCAGATTCGACCCGAATCAACAGATCCGACCCGGGTCAACGCCCGGGTCGGATCCGTTGACCCGGGTCGGTTCCGACCCGGATCCGCCCGACCCGGTTAATATTATATTATTATTTTATTTTATTTTATTTTAAAAAAAAATTTTTTAAAAAAAAATTACTTTTTTTTTCTTTTTCTTTTCTTCTGTATTATTATTATTATTATTATTAATTTTTTTTTTTCGAAAAAAAAAAATTTAAAAAAATTGTAAAAATTTGTTTGATATATTCTAAGTGTCTTAATCTAATGTGATATTATTATGCATGTTTTTTGTCTTGTTTAAATTAGACAAGCCTGAGGTTGCGCGGTAGTATTTTGCATGTTAGTTTTTATTACCGTTGTATTGTTATGCATGTTTTTAATACAATTGCATGAGTGTTGTGTTTTTTAATGTCATCTGACTTAGTTAAGGTTAGAATCTTAGGCTGCATGAATTGTTGTGTTCCTGACTGCTGATCGTTCCTGATTATGCACTCGCTTGATCACCTCACATGTTAGGAGAAAGGTCCTAAAATCAATCCAAATTGCCTGACAAATGTTTTCAGAAATGAACAGGGTAAAATGGTACCGAAAGGGCATTAGTTATCCAACTAGTGTAACCAAGTCCCCGAATTCAGTTAATCTCTGGTTCGTAGGAATATGGTGATTCTCCCATCACCCTATTTGGGTTTCTAATCGGCCCACCCCAAATCGATTAGTGGCGACTCCTTGGTATAAACCACTTGCATGTTAAATACTTAAACCCTAAGTCGCGATATGGTATGGGCTTGGGAGGGCCCGAGTTAAGTCCCGAACCTAGACTTAGCACGTACCAGGCGAGCTCCCTTTTTTTGCATGTTGTTCGATAAAAAGGGCTCGGGAGTTCGGTCGCGACAGACTGGCGACTCCACTGGGGACTTGCATTTTTCAAAGTGGACTTAAGCCAAAAAATTTTATCCAGTTCAAAATAATTTTTGTTTGGCAGCAGGGACTCCAGGTATGATCCTGACATTAAGGTGTTATTTGTCTTGCAGGTTCGAATTGATTATTTATAATTTGTTGTGCATGCTTTAATGATTTAGCACTACACCGTTGCACACACAACCACGCTGCCGGACCTGGGCCGCGATAGGGCATGTTAGGATGGTGTTAAGAAAGATACGACCTCGAACGCGAGCCCGCGATGTAGAGGTTGCCTTTCTTTTCCCCGAAATTTATTTCTAAAAAATCGTAAAGAAGTATCTTTAGCCGCTATTCGCGTGACTATAAGATATTCCTTTCGATTTGGCTGAGGTTAAAAGGACTTTACACCAACGCGAGACTGCGACGGTCAGGCACCCTTTTAATTTCATTTTGCTGAGCCAGTCTAGATAGAAATCGAACCTCACTCCTCATGTGCATGTTGTTGCGATTGCCATGGTTCAAGGAAAGGTATATATTCTATCCCTTCTCATTTTTTTTTATATATACGGCCTACTTATTCAATTGATTTGTTACTGTTAGGCCACCCGTTGATTGCAGTCTATATACCAGGGATACGCTTATTGCGGAACTTGTCCATAAAAATAAGCGCCTCCGAGAGACCGTGATTTCCCCATCGTTTATAAAATGAGTATTCGGGAGGGGCGCCCTTTTGTTAAAAGCCTCTGTCGTTTATATTTCCTAGTAATTATGTTCGGGGATTTTGGTTATCTCCTGTAAAAATGTTTTTAGGTTGTACAAATGTTAATATAACTCGGGCCATTTTTTATGCTTTAAATGAAATTTTTTGCCCCTTAATGACACCACCGCGGCCTTCGGCCCAGTGGTATCCGGGGATGAGCAGTAACGGTCCGAGGCGACCGGGGTTCGAACCCCGGGGACGCCGCCTGTAATGTTAATATAAATAAAAACCTTTTTTGCTTCCCTTATTTTTTTGCAAATAAAGAAAATACGTGATAGACAGATGCAATACTAGACTCAGTCATGGACTGATCATTTATGAGATTTTATACTCATTCGTTGCCATTTTTTTAACAGGTAATTACGAATTATACCAACCCGCCAAGTAAAAATGGCTGAAAAAGATATGACAACTCGTTTGGCGGACATGGAGACCGAAATGAAGCAAGTCTTCGCCTTTCTTCGACAACTCTCAAAACAAGTGGAACATCTGTCAGTCCGTTTAGACCAACTCACCATGACTCCGCTTTGCTATCCAAGACCAGGGATGATAATTCAAATGGAGCCCTCCAGTGTCAACCAAAAGGGTAAAGACGTCATAGCTGACAATGTCCACGAGTCCCCTGATCCTAAGGAATTGAGCACTCTATGCCCAAAGTTCATGCAACATGAACAATACAAACCCAGTATCCCTCCATCACAAAAACGAAACAACCGGAGACAATTCACTCCCCTCCCAGGACCTCCGTCTCAGATGCTGGCAATACTCCGGAAGAAAGGGCTGCTCTCCACTGAACCAAAGCGACCTAACCCTGAAAGCTTTTCAAACTACAATCCGTCTAAAAAATGTGATTATCACATGGGCGAGGTGGGACATTCAACTGATGGGTGCTATACTCTTAAGCACCGAATTCAAAACCTGCTGGATACCAAGACTTTCTCATTCGAGACCAGTGAAGGGAATGGGCGCAAGCCCGCTTGAGTAGAACTCCTCTCATCCTTCTGCATGAATCCCTGGAAAAGGGGCTATCCTTGTGTTTTGTTTTTTGTAGTCATTTCTGCTGGAAGAAATGTCTTTTTGAATTCACCCTCTTTTGAGGTTGTAAATCCGTGTATTGTAAATAAATAATGTTTTGAGGGCCTGAGGAAGTATCCCAAACCGGCCCGTTGATGATATCCAGCCACGAAAAGGAAAGTGTTCTGAGGCCCGGGCTTCCTCATGCTTCCTCGTTTCGAAGCAATTGAAAATAAAACAAACGTTTTATCATTTTTCAAAAGACCGAAAAAGAACGGTGGTGGAAAAGCATGCATACTCATAGCCCTGTTTATTTTTCTAACTCGCTCACTTCGTGTCTCAGAGCATACTCCTTTTTGATTTGTTATTACAAAGGGGACATTTGAAAATGACACAAACTGAAGAGCACATCAGACCCTGATGATGCTAGCGGACCAACTCATCTGATAGGGGCAGTCCGAGCGAAGATCATCCAATCTTCAAATGAAACATGGGGCAAATCTCACTACTACCAATAATGAACTGGAGAACATGACTCTGACGTGCTAGCGAGCCGGATAGAGCACCAATGTCGGGACCTCTCGAATGAAGCATGACGAAGAAGTGCTTAATTGGAAGAGTAGACTAGGGGGCATGCGATCTCCCAGTCCATCAAAAAGGGTGTATTTCGTTCCTAAAGTTCATCCACTTTAGCATAGAAATGACATATCTCTTCCTTTTACATAGGACAAACTGGAAAGGACTTTGCATATGACAAAATGGCGTCAAGGCAGATCCTGACAACCACAGAAGTCTCGATGGTAGTCATGCCCATGTTCGT